AGAACCAATGAGATGTTTTTTCTTACCAAATTTTTATTCATTTATTTTTTATATTTTCTAGCATATAATGTCCTTTGAAAATATGCTGGCAATACACTCCAGAAAATAAGGAATCATCACATGAATATTATCTGTGCAAAGATTGATGCTGCTGAAGTGAAACACAGTGAAACAACAGTTTTAGTTAAGACAAAGCTGGGTATTCATAATTTGTGAAAAGCTTCTTTGGCTCTAATTTGTGAACAAGAAATGATTTAACTTTATTTAAATGCCTAAAATATTTGTTGTTTGTTGGAGATCCCCCCCCCCTCCACACACACACACATATGAATCAGAGACTGAAATAGAGCACCAAGTGAACTCTTCCTGAATGGATTATCAAAGGTACGAAGCAAGATGAGTGTGCAGTGGTGACAAGATGTTTAATAAAGCTGGTGACTTCATGACTCAGTTTTCTAGCTGGCAGCATCAGCTGCTATACACCAATATAAGACCAATATAAGAAGTAACTGCTAAAACTGTCAGTGAGAGGTCATCAAAGCTGAAAAGTTGAACTGCTACGACTACTAAAGCACAGTAGCTGTTAGCATTCTTTTTTTTTAAATCTTTTTTTTAATTTTTTTTTTTTTTTTACAGGAAATAGGTCTAGGTGACAAATGACTTAATCTTCATACTGTTCACAGAGGAAGTGAAGAATGTGGGAAACTAAGTGCAGCAGAGCTAAAAACAAACAAACAAAAACCCTCTGCAGATGAACTTCCTAGTTGATATAGTTTGGTGGAAGCACTTGTGATTTGTTTAGATTACATTTCAAATAAAAAATATTGCATGAGCCTATAAAATTCTGTGTTTGCTCTTTAAATCCATCCATCCATCCATCTTCATCCGCTTTGTCCGGGGCCGGGTCGCGGGGGCAGCAGCCTAAGCGACCCGTGTGTGTGCTCTTTAAATCTTTTTTGTAAAATAACGCTATAACTGAGTATTTACCTTTACAGTATAGTGCAGAACTACTAAGTAGCCTGAAATAGAAGTTATAAAGCAATTATTTTAAAAATACTGTGTATATAATTCTGTTGAATGAATACACTATCATTACAAACAGTGTTTAAACTATTACATTGTGTCACTTTTCATTGTGATTCATGCCTAAATATTGCACACAATGTTCTATACATAATGTTTTTTTACATACGTATTAATTTCTTTTTCAAATATTCAGATTTCCTGTGGGGCTTCTCTGCTTTGTTCTTAGTCCACCCAATGCCACCCCATTGAAAAATTCCTCGAAACGCCCCTGGTATCGGCATATCAAAAGCGAAAAACAAACAAACAAAAATCTAAAAAAAATGTATCTTGTGTGAAAATTAAGAACGATATTTGCCTTTGAATATAATTATTTGAGTGTAAATTACTTTTACACTGTGCATATGTGTGTGTATGAGTGTTTACTTCAAAGGCTACAGCCTGCGAGATTGTGCGTGTGACTTTTCACCGCATCGAGGGTGAAAAAGGGTTCACTGCTCTCTCCTGTGTGGTTGTTCGTTTCCCCTCTGCGTGCCGCAGTTGTTCCTGTGTAGGCGGAGCTAAATAAGAAGAGGTTTATGAAGTAGGGGCATAGAAAAAACACCCAGCAGCACCAAATTCACGGCGGTAACGTGTTGGTTGAGCGGGGTCTCAAAGAGCCTTATCTATTATTGAGAAGGCTCACATGAATAAACGTTAACTCCGCCCGTTTTTAATCGCTAACGTTACGTCCGAGCGGTGCGGCTTATTAGCTAAAACAAAGCGGACCCTCAGAACAGTTCTAGCTAGTCTTCGCTTCAGTTACCGGTTATATTCCGTTTGACGAGGACACTTTTTGGAAGCAAATGTTACTGTAAATCTACACAGACGTCACAAAGGTATCGGCTTAAGGTGAGTGGTTTTATTTTAACCGACATTTGTGACATTTACCGGCCTGCCATGGCTGAAATCACAATGACGATGGGGAGAGAAGCAAAGAATGTGTGTCTTGAGGCTAAAAAAAAGTTTGGGTGTGGATTAACGGCAACTCTAGCTAGCGGTTTAGTTTTTAGTTCAGTGTTGGTTTCTTTGTTTGTTCAGCTCTGTAGCATGTGAAATGTTGGCTTGTTTAAAGCTACACCTCAAGCAGGCTCCTCGATAAAATCTCAAATTGAGCTTTGTGCTGAAAGTAGGCCAAAAAGTAGCCGCTTTGTACTACTAAAGAGGGCAGTGTGGGAGGCTAAACTGTGAGTGGACAGTGGGATTTGTCCCTCAAAGGGAGCTGCTAACAAAGCTTAATCTTGTTGAATAAAATCAGATATTTAGCAGAGGCTTAAATTGTTTTCCAGTTTTTTACTTGGCTTCTTGTTATACAAAGTTGTAGTAGTTATTGTGGTGTTGTGAAGTCATCCGATTTGTAAAATAATTGCTTTTAATTCCCAAGTTATCAATCAGAAACTGCCTGGTTTGAATAAACAATGTGGTCATTTGGCTCAAAGTTTAAAGCCACCCCCACTGTGTCCTAAACAGCCTTTAAGTTTAGTCTGCTGTCCTGAGAATAGAACTTCCCTTTTGTAGACCCACACCACCCTGGGAGACTTGTAAAGAATATCTTGAAGAGACCACAGCTGGACTATGGTTTGGTTAGACTGCATTATGGACTGTAAACTGTGGTTGAGGATATAGTAAGATCCAGGATGACTTAAATCTAGGTCAGCTTGGTTAACCAGATTCTTAAGAACCTCTTGTTCAGCCTTGGCCACAGCTGTGATTCAGCTATGTTGACGCCAGCACTCCAGTTGGACAAGATTGGTCTTGCTTGCATCTTCCTGTAAAGGAATAGCAGCCTCGGGCTGTGTTTTGTCTTCCCTGAGCAAGCTGAGTTGGTTGAAGTAGTAGTTGGTGGCCATCTAGTTGTTACTTTAATAAAGTGACTCGTGTTAATTACTGACCAGTCTTGGCTTGTAGACAGCATTATAATGACATGGTAACGGTGTCATATGGAGGTGTGACAAACGCATATGTATTTGATCTTGTACAGCAGTAGAGCACAGATAATGTTCACCAGGCATGTTAATTCCAGACATGCCTGCAGACTGTAGCCAAATGTGCACCAGTGAGTCACTTCCTTGGTTACATTGTTGTGCTGTTTAGGCAAGGCCCTGCAAGTATCCGGGGGAGTTTTGGAGGGTCATTTAACCTTACTCAGTGCCTTAGCCTGCTTTTGACTGGTCAGATGTGAGTCACAGATTACAGGACCTCCAGTGACGGCAAGACAAAGCAACTGGGAGTGTTTGTTTGAGGAGATATAATCATGATCCTTTCATAGATATTATCAGGCTTGAGTCAGTGGTAAAATGTGGTAGTTCTCACATCTAAGAGGAGAAAAGTTTCATAACACTTCAGATATGCAGAAAGAAACGCACGAAGGTTGGTAGATGGACCCGAGGCCATTTTTACAGTGGGTTTGTACTTCTGCGTTAACTCAATGCTCATAGGTATAGTGTTACCACAGACCCTTCTGTAACCATATGCTGTAACTTGACTTGTAGCTCCCTAGAAATGTAACTGCACATCACCAGGTGGGTAATCCTTTTATGGTCAAAATGAATCCATTTGCAGCCTCTTAAACTACAAGGACTTGCTGCTTGGTTTCTCACTTTAAAGCGAAAATGTTTGCCTCATTAACTTTCGGCTGGGAAAAACAAGACATGTGAAGATACAACCCTGTGAATCATCAGGGTTTTCTTTGGTTACAACAGGCCTTATTAAAATCTGTTATAAGTCAGAGTAAAAGAAATTTCCCAGAATAACCTCTCTTTTGGTGAAAAGCCCCCCCATCCCCCAAAAATGTAAAGACTGCTGGCCTGCTGTAATTGATGGAAACAATGATAAAATTACATTACAAAACATTTAGCATGAGCAATTTCAAATTTCAAAGCCTTTAGAAGTACGTCAGTTAACTAATTTATACAGTGTTTAATGAAATCCAGCCTTAGTAAATTCTTAATGCAGTTTTTATTTAGGGAAAACTGTTCTGGCATGTAAAAGATAACTGAGCAGATAAAATGTTCTCACTTGGGATCAGACTGAGTAAACTCTTTAAACAGAAAGAGAAATTTACATAGTTTCCCACAACATAAATTTGGAGTTTGTTAAATATCGAATGCATTATCTCATCCCTCTGAGGAATGTTGAGAGATAGGGATCTTTTTCATACCTGAAAAAACTTCAAACAAACTATACAAACATTTTTCAGCTAAAACAATAGATTTACCTGTGTCAGAGTAAGATTTCATGACTGCTGGATATCTAACACACTGGATATGTTGGATTTACTCACATTTTTTTTTTTTTTTTTTTTTTAAGATTTTAAAAGCAAGAGCTCACAGGCTTAGGCTCGTCAGAATAATCAAATCTCACCTTAAACTTTTTTTTCTTCTTTTTTTTTTGCAACAGATAGTTTAGGTAAAACGAATACTTTGACTTTGTTGATAAAGAGGTCAATATAAAATAAAGATCTGCATTCTTGACAATTAAGGCATCAGCTGAACACTTGTTGGTGGAAAGAGTAACTTCCCTTCAACTGTTTTTTTCTAGTCAGCTGGTTGCCAGATGATGGTTTCTGATTCTGTAACAGGAAAAAAGTACATAAATTATGCACACGCAACGAAAGGAAAAACGGTTAGAAAGTAGAACATGTTTTTGGAAGTGCTACAAGGGAATCACTGAAATTGCAAGCGGGTCATTTCCTTCAACTGTGCTCTGACAATGGACGTGCCCATCCTGATCCTTCAACGGCCTGTTGGATGAGGCTGGGTGTGGTTTGATTAAGGAAATTGATGAAAAGTCACGCTGAGTTGTTTGGGGGCCTAATGAACCAAGAGTAGACTGTGACTTTCAGCAGCAGATGTGGACCGGGTGGCAAACAGAGCTTGGTTGTGGGGGAAGGGTGCTCGACTCGCTCTCTGAACTCCCAGATGACCCACTCTGTAAGAACAATGGGGACTTGTGTCGTAAACCATCTTTCCCTTTTGCATATTTCTCAGAGAAGATTTGGAAGAGTCACGCTTTCACCAGTGCGCTTGCTACAGTAGCTGTCAATTTTTTAAGGCCCACATTGTGGCATTACATGATATCCATTAGAGCTGGGCTATATCATACCGTTCACGGTAATACCGGTGTAATTTTGGGCAACGATAGGAAAATGAAATATCGCGATAGAATATGGGTAAAACGCGCATGCGCAGTGCCTAGGTTTACATACGCGCAGTGCCTAGGTTTACATACGCACATGGCGGCGACGCAGAATGAGAAGAGCGAACATGGATCGTTAAATGAAACGGATGAACCAGAATTGGTTTGTAAAAATGCTGCAACTTCAGTGGTGTGGAACTGGTTTAGCTTTCGTCCGTCAGATACACAACAAAGCACTATTTTTGGTAGAGCATGCTAGCGGGCCGTCGTTATTACCGTGTTGTTTGGAAAATACGGCACACTTAAAATCAATCCTTTGATATTTTTTTTTCTGAAAATCGACAGTGCCCCTTATAATCCCGTGTGCCTTATGTATGAATTCTGGTTGTGTTTACTGACCTTGAAACGATTTTATGTGGTACACGGCACTCGAAAATCTGTCAAGTGTTTTAGTACGACTTTGCTAAGCTACGAACCCGCACCGCTTGATGGATTGCCGGAGCATTACGGCTATATTAGGCAGGAGCCTCGCGGAGTGATATGTATGATATGTACTGTGCTTCAACATAATATTACCATATTGTGTGTAACCTCTTAAGTTGTGGATATTATACATGGTTATGCTGAGGATATGTCGGCCAATTTCCACTGGAAATACCTTTTGGTTAAAATGTCAGCAAGGAATTTGCACTGTAAATTTTTTATATAACTTCAATGCACATAAAAAAACAGCTGCTTGTTTAAGTGAAAATACATTAATGGGGTTTTTTGCACTAAAGTTGTGGAGTTGTAAAGTATTTTGTCTAGTGTCAATTATATCGTCAGTTATATCGTTATCGCAAATTTTAAAATTTATATCATGATAAATATTTTTGGTCATATCGCCCTGCTCTAATATCCATTACATAATGAATAAATGTACATCGAAACAAGGCGGGAAACCATGTCAACAATCTTTAGGGCAAATGTGGAACTTTTAAAGATGGTGTTTAAAGCAACAGCTTGAGCTAGAGAAATCAAACTACCGGTAGGTTAGATTTTTGAAAGCTGGTGCTGCCATGCTGAGCTCACAGTTGCAGTCAAATATGGTGCTATTGAAGTTTGTCCACATTTAATTTAAGAACACACAATTGCGTCTCATTTCAGGTGCACATGGATAGCTGCATACATAAACACCACCTCTATCCTGAAAAGCCTTTGTGATTATTTTCTGCTTAATTTATAGAAACACTAAATGTTTTTTTTATCAGTGGTTGTACAAAAGAAGCAATTTATAGATGTTTGTTTCCATGTTTGGATTTAGAAACTTCTTGTGAAAAATTAGATGTTTGATAACATTTAATTGAGAAAATAACTGAAAGATTAATTAAATAATCATTAGCAAAAGCCCTGGTTTCAGGTAGGAGCCCATTTATTAAATGTAACATATGATATTGGGGATTGTTTGTGCATCGGAAAAGAAATGATTATAATATTGTCTGATGACGATGGGAAAAATGAAAGTGTTACAGGTCTTACTGTGCAGGGATACTGTGCATCTGACCACAGATATCTACACTGCATAAGATCAGACTTCAGAGAGAATAACAGTAAAAGGGACAAAGATGAAGAGCAAAAATAAATTTAATAAAGTAGATTAGTATCAGAAATTGTCACAGCAACAAGTTCACAATATTCAGTGTCTAATAGTGTGATGCACATTTAAAATGATGTAA